TTTGTGATGTCAACGAACACTTGCTGCCACTTTTGTAATGTCAACAAATACTTGTTGTCACTTTCACAATGCTCATTGTAGTAGAGACTTTGTAATCACAGATACAACGATAGTAACGCTGTTGAACAATACTGGTGTCAGATACCTTTAAATAATACTCACACTAATAGTACTTGCTTGATAATACTTGCTCAAAAGTAACCACTGAATAGTAATCAGTCTAGAGAAATAGTATAGTGAATAGTATAGAGTTAGAGGATGGCATAAAAATGGTGATCTGCATAGTAGTAGAGTATAGAGAAGGAATAGTGATCGTTTAGATTTCAAGCTAATTGCTCTCTGCTGATCTGTGTTCAAACTCCAGTGTCAGCAGTAACACTTTATTCCAATATAACAGCATGTAATTTTTTTTTTTAATCCAACAATTGGATAGCCTCAATGTGATCTTCATCTGAACATCACACTGAACTGTGAAACTGACAGTTGCCATACAGTGTTGATTCCTATGTTCATACAATGTCTATAAAGACTATTACAAATGCTGAGTACTTTCCCGTTATAAATAAAGTAAATTTTTATCTATAGTTGGTATATTTTAGCAATAATTTTTCATTTATATAACTTTGGTCATGGTTGGCTTTATTGTTTAAACTTAGACCTTCTCCCCCAACAAAGAACTGGAAAATGTTGATTTTCTTAATCACTCACTTTGCTTAATCCCCTAGTTGTGAGTAGAGAAAGCTTACTAAAGTAGTAATGACACATGATCTGAAGATCACCTGAGGCACTTAACTGACAATTACCATAATGTTGATTTTTATGCCTGCACTCTCTCTATATCTCTCCCTCATTATATATATATATATATATATATATATATTTATTAACAATTATAACAAAAACATGTATTGAGCATTTTTTAAATATAATGTTCGGACATTGGTATTAATTAACCTTACACTTGGAGCTATATATATGAGAGAGAGGAAGAGAGAGAGAGAGAGAGAAACTGAGGCAGGCAGGCAGGCAGCAAATTCTCTTTTAGGCATGTCTGATTAAATAAATTGCAAACATTATGTCTGCTTATTTTTAGCATAATCTGTTCATATTCACAGATTATTTCCTAGGTGTTACAATCAAATGATGTAAGAAATGCATTGTAACAGTGAAAATCACTTTTATTTCCCAAAGAAACGTAAAGTACTTGGGAAATAAAAGTGATTTTCACTATTACAGTGCATTTCTACCATCATTTGATTGTAACACGTGGAAAAATATCTGTGAATATGAAAAGATTATGCTATAAATAAGCATATATATATATATATATATATATATATAATGTAACTTTGAAAATTGGCATAACATTCCCTCTTATCTATTTATGTGGCAGGTTTAGGGTCAGAAAGATGGCCCTTATAGTATGAGACTTACCAAGTGGATCAAAGAAAATACATCACTAATACAGTGAGTTTACTCACCACTTTGGTCCCAACTCTTGACCTGGTGCTACACTAAGATAAGATTATCAAATAACTCGGACAACAGCCATAGAGCTCACACCAAACCCCAGGTGAAACCTATTTCTTTTTTCTTCTTTGCTTTTTTTTTTTTTTTTAAATTATTTCATCTAAAGCAAGGTAATAATACCACTAAGATGCAAGAGGTTACTTGGAATGAAAGAAAATAAGAAGATTTTAGTGAGGAGAAAGGACAATAAAAGAACAGGATTCAGGAAGGCAGAAGATTGTAATTGACATTGCATTTAAATTTTTGAAGATTGTAGGGGTCAGGGAAGAAAGGAGCACCACAGGAAAGAAATGCAAAAAAAAAACACAATTAGAATAGAACTTAGTTACATCTATCTAATTCCACAATAATGATGCCTAGTCGCCAAATTTGTAATACACACATTCTCATGTGGTCGAGAGATCAAGGAGAAGAGTTTTATTAGTACAACTGCCATGAAAATATTTATATATCTGACTCATCACTAGAGATGCAGAAAAAATGGTTGTTTGCTTTCTTGATCCAATATTGATGCTATATCTGAGCTGGAGCTAAGGAAAACTCACCCTCCAGCCTTGACAGAATTCAAGTGTTTACATGGCCTTGAGGGTGATGAATTATTTTCCATCCTACAAACCCTTTTCCACAGATGAAATGTTACTAGCCTCTCAATACTCAGTCACTATTTTCATGGAAAACCTCCTGACAAGCTACATCACTTAGTCCCACCAGCTATGGCATCTCCCGGAGAGTCTTCTCAGTTACAAAATAGGTCTAGGAAGATCATTATTAATGATCAGTCCTCTGGCATCATCCAAGGATCCTCTAAATATCTGGATGACCAGTTGGGTAGGTTGATTTTGAAACTTTAGTATTGCACTCAATTTCAAAGTTGGGTTTGACATAATAAATAAGTACACAAAATATTTTTTCCAAATCATTACTGCTTTTTGAGGAAATGAGTTTAAAGATTAAATTTTGGTTCAAAATCATAGCATTGGAATTTAATTCCAGTGATCAATGAAAGCCTTATAGTACAACCTTATAAAATTTATAAGTAACAGAATTTTCACAAATTGTATTTAGACAAGATGCAAAGCACAAGCAAATTATTACTAAATTATTGTGCCATCAAATAAGACCTTCATTTATTTCAAAATGAAATTATCCTGAACAGTTTAGCTATATTATGATGAAATGTTATACAGTAGAGTAGTTTTAGTATGATTTTCAATAAACAAGGCAAATTCAAATCATTCTGTCTCATAATTTGTGCCCAGCATATTATCACGTTATATACACTTTTATCTATTTCTTGTTTTCATTATGATCTAACAAATCTTATTCATGAAGTAGTCTTTTTTGTAATCTTTTACAAATTTTTTCTTACACAGATTTTACTTATCAAATACAACTGGAACTGCTGTTGATGGCTAAAGGCATGGGCCAGCTGTCTGCTTCTGGAACAGATACTACACTTCATTCCTAGGATTTATCTAACAAGAAAATAGATGTTTGCGACACAAGGCCATAGGGGAAGTAGGGAGAGGCTGGTTGTCACTGACTATCCCAAACCTAGCTAATCTGATTCAAGACCCATTCATTCTAACAATTGACCCATTCACCATAAGTAATCATCCTTCACCTAAAAAATCATTTACCAAAATACCACATATTCGCATGGAACCTACTCTGAAAAACTCCATAGTATAAAAAGTTCCATTTTGATCCTATGTATTATGTCTGCAGATGGTCCTCCTTGTCAATTTTTGAGACCATTTTATATCCTGAATTAGTTTTTTACAACAATCACTGGCCCTTCTTCCATTTTTTTTTTGTTTTTTTATGGAACTGCTGATAGGATATGACAACTTTCTTAAAAACTTAATAAAAATTTCTTTATTTTTTATTTAGATATTCATGATCTGTAGTACTTAATTCATAGTGACATGATGAAAAGATTTACAATTCTCTTTTACCTAGTGGTTCCAATGAAGTGAATGATTTTTTTTTTTTTTAATTACTTTGGTTTACTTTTTTTTAAAAAAAGAGTTTATCTACAGTTCTTCTTTGCCTTCTAATGAAAAAAATCTTCGTTTGTTCAGCCACAAATAAAAAAAAAACCTTCATTTATGTGCATCAAAGTAATTAATTTGCTTATAGTTGAAACAAATAAAACTAAAAAAACTGTATAAACTTTATTATTATTTAAATAAACAACGTCTGTCTGCCAATATTATTACGGACAGTGACACATGGACAAACTTACTTCACAAATAAAAAAAATATCATGTTTTAACTATATCTCACATTAGTCACGATTATTTAATTTAATCAGAATAAAATATTTTCTGTTTTTTTTTTTTTTTTTTTGTCGGTGAGCAATAATCACTCACTATTCTTTGTTGTTATCACTGAAACCTTAGATCGAGCCGTGCCAAATGTCATAAGGGAGGCGAGAAATAATATAACAAAAACGAATTAACTGATACTGTAGATGGAATGAATACAATCTATGTGTATTGAAAAGGCTTGGTTCAATATTACTCGAATTTTACCAACCATTAAAAAAAAGGCCGGAAAGTGCAACAACAACCGAATCGGTGTAACAATAAAAACTAAGATGAGGATTTTTGGTTTGCCATCAGACGCCGAACTTGACGAAAACAAAATTTTATCATCAAAAGATGTTAACTATTAACAGGAAAAAAACAAAAAACAAAGTATTTTTTAAGTATTTAAAAAAAAAATTCCATCCTTTTTAGAACATTCTAACTTTTGATTAAAAAACCTCGTTTCTCTTTGCATCCTGGGGTACTAAATAACAGCAAATTTTAGCGCATTTTTTTCAACGACAGACATTAATTTGGAAAATCTTGCAAAAATAAAAATAATTGTCGGATTTTAATGAAACTTTCAGAAACTATTCACAAATGATAGAAATTATTAAATTATAAATATGTTGTTTTTTTAAGTCATGTTAAAAATATTTTTTTTTATATTTATTACCTCCCTATATAACTTTACTAATTTTATGAAAAGTGGAAATTCAATGTTGATTCATTTAGTGATTAGAAGTGTATTGGACCTTAAATTTGTTTTAAATCACCTTGATTTTTTATTGACGTTTATTTCCTTGATTGAAAAATGAAAACCTAAATAGTTTCCGGACGTTCAATGCAAATTTTAATGCACTGGGATACATGGTGTTGGGATGTTAAACTAAGCACCCATAACGGAACTAAAATAAAAACGCACATGTTTCACATAAAAGTCCACAAAAAATAAAATAATAGACCTTTATTGCTTTTTTTTTTTTTAAAGGATATACACAGACATAAATTTGATTTTTACACACCGCTCCATTCTATTTATTCCTTTTCAGTTAACTATACAGTACACACAGACACACCAATATCTCACCCAGCATCTCAGTTGTAAAATGTAAACAACACCGAACGTGAAAGACGTCATTTTCTCTAGAAACTTACCAAGGCGGTGTAACCTGAACTGTCGACAGAGTTAACCGTGCAAATCCGGTTGCCTCTATTCAATTTTCTTATGATTTCTTCAGTATTTCCATAACATGCATCACTCCATATTCCCCTTTCAAAGTCTATTTCGTCTAGTGTCTGATGTACAGAAGGCTGCAACCACGGTCCACTACAACAAGACTCACCCTCAGTGTGGGTATGACTAGTACTGTTCATTTCTAAATAGAAGTTCTGCGCCATATACCTGGAGCCGGTGTAAGAGGAAAATTATCCCTTTCAATTAAATATCCTTTCAAGATAATTTTACGTTACTCGTAATTTCCTGTTTTTGCAGAAAACTGAAACAATAATATATTTTTAAAATAAGTATTTATTTAATGACTACACTCTTTTGTTTTCAAAAAGTAAACAAAATCGATTTATATAAGTTAAGTTCTTCTATCTTTTCAAATTGCTATTTTAATAAAATAATTATAAATAAAATAAATAAATTAAATTTTAGAAACAAGTCAAACATCTATGTATTGTAACGTCATCTATTTCAAAAATATAGGGGAATAGGGCTTAGACCCCAAATTTCACTCCAAAACGACCCTAAAATCAATTTTCAATCGACTTTTACTTCATAATTACCGAATTTTCCTACATTGTCAAAATTACCGAATTTTCCCTTACCGAATTTCCATTACCTAATTTCCTCAAATTCGATATTTCAGAGGTTCTGGTGTTTCCAGTATAATTAATTGAGCTTTTCTAAATGTCTTCGTAGTTCTTGCCAATTGTTGAAGCATCACGGATTCAACGGTCGTTGGATTAAATCACATCAAACTATTTCTAGTCTGCAGTATGCAGGAAAGACATGAAAATAAAGAGAAACCTCTTCTGGGTTTGAGATGTATTTCGTATTTGCAGACATTTTCTCGTGTGGTCTGCATACGTTTCTTTGTGAAATTTTGGCGGGTTTTGAAAAAAACAATCGATGTATTCTTGGTAATTGTGGTTAATAATATAGTACCACTTACTAGTATTTTAGTAACCCTCATTTCAATTTCAAATATTTTCTTGAATTTCATTGGTTGTTAAATATAAAATAAACTTCGAGAAATTTCCATAACAAAACAACCAAATTTTGTGCAAAAGTAAGCTCAGCCGAAGGTAAAAAAAAATCTTTCGCAAATTCATCCCTAATTTAAATGTTTCAAGACATCCTATTGGCTAAAAAATAAAAAATACAATATTAGCCCACGCATTTCTCAGAAAATTTTGCAACAGTTACCAAGCCCCGTTGAACCGATTTGGTCGTTAAAAAAAATAAATAAATAGAAACGGCGAACGAATTTCGTCGCAACTGAAATTCACACATGCGAAAGATACACACGGGAATTATGTGTCAGACGCTAAACAAACTTCTTCCTTTATGAGAGATTACAAAAGTTTACACACAAAATTTTTCACTCAATATCTTTCATAGAAAAAACTTGTCTAAATTAAATTCAACCTTTTTAATCAAAGGCAAACAACTTTTTCGACATTGCACATTTCCAAAACAGCAAAGAATTTTTTTCTCTTACACACATCATTACAAAGAAAGAAATTGTAAATATAAAATTTAATTTGTTGTTTCAAATATGTATTTTTGTCGTGATTGAATATCGTTAACATTTGGCCATTTCTTATAATTTATTTTTGTGGATATTGCATATTTTATTTTCAGTACAATAAATATTCACGCAACCTTCCTAAATCCATTACAGTGATTTTCTAAGCCCGACTTAGATGTGGCACAAGGCCGAAAGTAGGAGGCACCTAGTAAGGATCGAACTCACTTTTCAGCCGTAATTGTTCGAGCGAGACAAGCTTGCTAACCATTACACCATGTCGAGGTGCCCTCCTAAATTCATTACAGTATCATTTTATTTGCCAGTCATAATTTACCGGTAATCTGGTGCTAGGAAGACAGTTAAGTTTCCCACACACCAGGTACTATTAGCTAATTAGCATTAGTGTATCTATTGATGCACTAACACTGAATAAACGGAAATGAAAGACGCCCGTACTCAATTAAAAGGACTTTTGTTTTAATAAATACAAAAAATGTTACAACAAATCGCATGTCCCAAAAAACGGACGAATGTACACATTCGTTCAAGAACGAGCACGCCTGACTGAGGTACCCAAAGGATAAAGAAGAAAATCACTTTTTCCGGTTTCCTTGACACGGTGAAATAAAGTGCCTCGCCGAAGTTGGAGGCATAAGTCTCGTTTTCACTCATCCAAAAGCAGTGAAGATAATGTCCGTTTTCCACATATGTGGACTTCAGGAAAAATGAGATGTCAACAGTTCAACTGTGGAAGCGTGCATAGACTCCATTCTTTTGCGCGCGTGTCTTGCACCCCTTCCTTCCACTTTCGACTAGACATAGCAGTAAGCCAGCCTTTTGTTGCTGACTTCAAGCTTACTGGCTGCTCCTGATACCATCTGAACTGAAATTTGAAATCTTCCCGCGCATTTCACTGATAAACTTTATTTTTCAAGTCAGTCGCAGTCTGTTACCAGAATAAGAAGGTTGACTCATTTATTCCGTGCCCCTTACCCATACGAAGGCCGGAATATCTTAACTGACCAAAATTTCCTACTGACTCCCTGGTGCATTATGCCGAATGTTTTTCCCGTGACTTCAACATGTTCAAACAACATTTAGTACCGGAGTATGCAGAGACTATCACGCTTTTAAGAAAATGCTTTGTCCCTCAGCAAACAACTAGTTCGACCTATCCTCTGTTCACTTCGAGAGCATACGACACTGTCGTCATCACTTTTGTAAGAACTAATGCCTCGTCATAATGCGAACAACTAATTTGAACTGTCCTCCGTTTCTTACTAGAGAAACGTAGAGTCTACGACACGGCTGGCACCACACTCTTAAGACTGATCCCTTGTCCTTCAGCGAACGACTTGTTCGATTTCCCTACATTCACTATCAGGGAACGCAGAATTTTCCTCAATGAAGATTGATGAACTTTTCATAGACATTTGAAACTCCTAACCTTTACGAACCAGTTCCAAAAAAAAGATAACATTACACACACATTATTAAACCTCGCAGTGAGTACTTTTCCTATTTGTGTACGCATACATCTTTCGTACAAAAAGACATTATTCCAGAACTTTCATTCTGAAAAAACTTTTCCCGCCTTTAGCCATCTTGGTTTTTTCGCTTTGGCGCGGAACTTTATAATTCTACTAATTACTACTAATTACTACTTCTGCCTGCTGGCTTAAAACAGACCTTACCTTTTCTGATAGTCTCCACGGTTGAGACAAGATTATTTGTTATTAAAATAAAATTTCATATATGTTTTCAACCAGACTGGTTTTGTCGTTTCCTCCTGTCTATCTACTTTGTATTATTTCTATGCACTTGTTGAATGACCCTTTTTCCTCACTAAAGATCACTCATTTAATATTTTTACTTTGTTTGTGGATTCGGTAGTCATAAGTAGGGTCTGGCACAAGGCCACCTTTTAATAAACCAGCACTGCATGCTACCGGGCCCGCAACACAACGAACAAAAGCAAAACTTTCTCACAAAACAAGTTTGTAAAGGGGCTAAAAATTCACACGTGACCAACGGATACGCGATGTCTTAAGCCCCGCCGCCAATTCAGGAAAACAATTATTGTCTCCCTACAACAGTATCACGTCAAGTAAGTCGTCATTTGATTGAAGTGCTAAGATTATTACATTGCGTCGGGTAAGCCACCAGATAATGGATGAGCTGTGAAAGAAATGAATATTCTGTCATTGACATTTCCTCTATTATCGACATTATTATATCCATGATGATACACCTTATTTCATGGATGTAACACAATAGCCGAAAGAAAAGAAATGACAAACATGCTTTGTCCTAAGAGACAGTTTTATACGGCTAAATCATACACAAAATTATATATACATATCTCACGCAGAGGAACTATAACTCGTGTATGCAACAACAAGCAATGAGAAAAGGTAGTGAAACGAGAACGTCTTACAGGTAATAATTCTGAAGTGGGGATTTCTTATGTGCTTCTTGAGAACCCATATTGAGAATTCCAGATTTGAGCTAGCCGGATTTATTTTCTATGTCACAAGCAATGACATATTCCTCTCAATCAGGAAACGGCGAGTCATATATTCCGAAGAAAAACAAAAAACAGCGCCATGCGTTTGTAAACTGCTCACGCGACAACGGGCTAGCCCGGGCAGAGTTCCGGGCAATGTAAGGCTTTGCCCGTGCTAAAAAAAAAAAATAAAAATAAAAACTCGGTTTAACTCCTAGAGGCTGACGATATTCAGTCACCCCCCTCCACGAGGGTGTCATGTGGCACAAGGCCTTTTTAACGTGGGCATTCCGAGCCCGTGGGCTCGGCTAAAAATATGCCCATTGAACCCGTATAAACGGGTTCAGGGCCGGTCTACCTCCCCGAAGGAGACTCCGCCCTTCGGCGTAGCCTCCTTCGGATTCCTCCCGTCCGTAGGAAGAGAGTTCAACCGAACAGTCGCTCAGAAAGTACTGACTCCTAGAGGCTGACTGCCGGACTGGCCACTCTGGTCACTTTATGAAGTAACGTCACCACGCGGCTGTCATGTGACTTCATCTCAATCAAAGGGAGATAATCGCCTTTTTGTATCCATATATATATATATATATATATATATATATATATATATATATATATATATATATGCGTGTGCGTGTGTGTGTGTGTTGAACAAAAGTTTCTCTGTGGTCAGTAAAGTTGGGTTTTTCAGTGCTGAAATACATTGTACCGCGTAGTCAGCGAATTCGTGTTTTCAGTTTTTAAATATATTACTTATACGGCAATTTCACAGAAAATTATATTTTAGGTGAACGAAGTATTTATCAACTAAACAGGTTGTGTTTTACTATATTTAGACTGTTTTAACTGTGAATGGAAACGGTTTTCGACGGTAGTTTTTGGTCCTAACATTTGAAGAGTGGTTGACGATGCAATTTTATCAGGATCTAGAACAAGGAGAGCTTTTAAAATAGTCTGTTTTAAAAAGATGCTTCAAATATTATTTTTTTTTATTCAAAAACATTTTTTTTATAAAATGTTCTTATATTTTATTGATAAAGATAATGATTTTTTCTTTGAAATTTATGTTAACACTAGGATGGCCAGCTCTTTTGACATCTTTATTTACA